TTTTATTCCTTGTGGTTTAGTATTTTTGTACATAACCCTCTACAATTTCAAAAGTTATATATAATCTCCTCATGATTTGAATTAAAATATCATAACGGATTCATATAAAATGTCAAAATACCCCTATATAAAGTTGAAAAGTATTTATTAACCACAGGAGGGTTATGTGTATATTTTAAAAATTTTAAGGGGATTATATGATAAAATATTAAACTATAAGGGGGTTATATGATAAATATAAAACCATGCGGAGTTAGTGTGTTATGTATATTATGTTTTATATTTTGGTTTACTTCAACCATTTTAATTTTTAAACAAGGGTGATTTTGATATTTTAAAAAGTTTCATTACGAATGATCATTTTCGTCATTTTAACACTTTAATCCAAACCATGAGGGGTTATATATAATTTTTGAAACTATAGGGGGGTTATATACAAAAATACTAAACTATAAGGGGGTAAAGTGTAATTTTGTCCTTATAGATTTGTCCTTATTTTTCCATCCTCTTTTGTCATTTTTCTGCAAGTCTATCCATATAGATACCACACGCCTGCCAACTGACACAAGCTTGTCCATACTTTTTTTTTTTTTTTTGTCGCAACGATAGATGTTCTATAACCTAATCTAGCCTAGTCTAAGGGGAAGAGGATGGGGTTCGAGCCTAGTCTAAGGGGAAGAGGATGGGGTTCGATGTGAGTACAGACTCCATCGATGAAGGTCAATTAAGACCGCCACAAATGTGGCAAATTTGTGGGAGGCAGGGATTGAACCCCTGACCTCCATCATCACCTTTTTATGGTGATGGCACCTCCATCATCACCTTTTTATGGTGATGGCCACTGGACCAAATGGCTAGTGGCCAAGCTTGTCCATACTTGTCCATACTTGTTTTCCAATTTTTTGTCTGAAATCAGAGTCTTGTAGCCTGAGCAAAATACAGGGGAGATTAAAGCAAATGGCAAGCTTATCAGGCTTGGTATCGGAGCTAAAGATTGATGTATATATGTTTCATCCAATCTTTTTTTCGCTTTTTCCTTTAATCTTACTGTGGTTTCTCTTCAAATTAGTTTCAAATTCGAGAAAGAATCAGCCACCATCGCCACCAGGACTTCCGATTATTGGAAATCTTCATCAGCTAAGCTCACTGCTTCACTATCCTCTCCACTCCTTAGCCCAAAAATATGGTCCAATCATGTTTCTCAAATTTGGTAGTGTTCCCACGGTTGTCGTTTCATCAGCTGATGGAGCTAGCCTAATCATGAAAACCCACGATTTGATTTTCTCTGATAGGCCATTTTCGAGCACAGCTAATAAACTTCTCTATAACATGAAGGATATATCGGTAGCACCCTATGGCGAGTATTGGAGACAGTTAAAGAGTATTTGTGTTCTTCAGCTCCTGAGCAACAAAAAAGTTCAGGCGTTTCGTAATATAAGGGAAGAGGAAACGTCGATTATGATGCAGAAGATTAAAGACGCTTCTTTGGATTCAACACCTGTGAATTTGAGCGAAATGTTTGTTTCGCTGACTAATGATATTGTATGCAGATCGGCTTTTGGGAGGAAATACGGTGCAGGGGAAACTGGAAAGAAATTCAAGCTGCTGTTGGGCGAATTCTTGGAGTTACTGAACGGAGGAATTTTAGTCAAATCTGTGCCCTGTCTCAGCTGGATTAATCGAGTTAATGGTTACGATGCCAGAGTGGATCGCGTTGCTAGAGAAGTAGATGAGTTCTTGGAGGGCGTGGTCCAAGAAAGGTTGGATGGTGCAGTGGAAAAATATTCCTGCAGGCCAAGTGGTGAGACGATTGATGGTGAAAGCAGGGAAGACTTTCTTGATATTTTGCTGAAAATCTATAAAGATAACGCAACGGGTGTAACCATGGACAGGGACAGCGTCAAAGCTATAATATTGGTAAGCACAATTTTCTCTGCGCAGTGAAAATAAAATCATTAAGCTTCATTTTCTGAGTATAAAATCATTAAGCTTCTATAAAATCATTTTTTCTGAATATAAAATCATTAAGCTTCATTAAGCGTCATCTCTGATCATTCTCACGGACAATCAACAAATCATTGATTTTAAGTGTATATCTTTTTGACTGTAGGATGTATTCTCTGCTGGAACTGATACCACGGCTACAGTTGCAGAATGGGCAATGGCAGAGATCTTAAGACACCCCATTATCCTAAAGAAATTGCAAACTGAAATAAGAGCGGTTGTTGGTGGCAAAGAACAGATATCCGAGGATGACTTGGCCGAGATGCATTATTTGAAAGCAGTGATCAAGGAAACTCTTCGCTTACATCCTCCAATTCCGTTGCTGGTTCCTAGAGAAGCAAGAGAAGATGTCAAAATAATGGGATATGATATTGCAGCTGGTACAATGGTGATCATCAATGTTTGGGCAATAGGTAGAGATCCTGCATATTGGGATGAACCTGTGAACTTTATGCCAGAGAGATTTATGGATTCGTCTATAGATTTCAAAGGGCATGATTTCCAGTTAATCCCATTTGGTGCTGGTAGGAGGGGTTGTCCTGGAATCGCTTTTGCTGTTGCCAGCAATGAACTTGTGTTGGCAAATTTGGTAAGCAAGTTTGATTGGCAATTTCCTGATGGTGCACAGGGAAAAGAGTTGGATATGACAGAATGCCCTGGCGTTGCAGTTCGTCGCAAAATTCCTCTTCTTGTTATTCCATCTCCACTTTCTTGAATTCTTCACATGGCCGAATGCTGCAGATTCTGTATTCTTGTCTTGATACAAATGTTGGATTGATTCCTGAGAAGGGCTGCAATTGCACTGTGCAATAGAAGGTCTAATCTCTGACCAGATTTGAACTGAAAAAATGAGGAGGCACCAAACTTGTTATCGTGAATAGTGCAATAGTAATTATAACTTGTGATGGGATGGATTAGAGTAATGCCACGACAGCAATCTATTATGCAAAGCATTATGAAATAATCCCTTATAAAATCGATTTAAACAATCTTGTTAGCTGTCAGAAAATTGAAAATTTGAACTTGCCAAGGGACAAGACTACAATCACAACATGATAATCAAATCCAACCAAGAAGCAATATCATTAATTTTGGCGGCTGAAGTTTGGAATTCAGCTCCATGGAGGGCAGAAGACTGCTTTCTAAGATAATTGCTGAAGCTTTTTGTTCGTGGCATCCTTTTTGGCTGCTAGACATTTGGAACAAAATCTAAAGATAGCTTATTTTACATCTCTTGACAAGAAATCAAAACAACTAATTTGGCACGATTTGAACAATTTCAATTTTCTTTTGTAAAAATATGGCTGTTTTTATTTTAAAAGTTAACGACGTATATTTGAGGCACATCAAGTTTGGCTGGACACCTAGATGAGCATGATAACATATCAGAAATGGGTGTGAAGAATTCGGATATTAAGTAAATTTTTTGCATTGGGCAGGAGGGAAGTAGGCGAAGCAAAATAAAATAAAAATGTCTTACATATATTTTGTGTATATATTTTGGAAGTAGGTGAAGCAAAAAAGAACTAAAACGTGATGTTTATACAGGAGAAATATCAATATAATAAAAAGTGGCACAGAGTGTAGGACAGAAGATCCGTTGCGCAATTATTGTGATATATTTGTGTAATATTCAATCTTAAAAAGAATCAACAGCTAATTATTCTGGATCACCACTTTATGCTATTGATAAACTAATTCAATAATTCCAAAAGGGTTAAAAATAAAAAAGCCCCCTGTGGTAAGCCTAATACACAGAAAAGCCCCCTATAGTTTCAAAATATACAATACGACATCTCATGCTTTGAACTAAATTGTAAAAGTGACGGAATCCGTTAAACTTAACGGAAATGACTTATTGGAACTAGGGATGTAATCGAGCCGAGTCGAGCTCGAGTATCACTATACTCGAGCTCGACTCGACTCATACACACAGAGGCTCGAGCTCGACTCGAGCTCGATCGAGCCAAGAAAATCGATACTCGAAGATCGACTCGAAGAATTTCCTCAGGCTCGAGACTCGACTCGATAAGGCTCGATCTTTAATCGAGCCTTATCAAGTCGAGTCTTATCAAGCTTTTTGACTCGATTTGACGAAAAAAACAGATCAAAGGTGATGTTTTGGGAAGAATCAAAGGCAAGCAAGTAGCTATCAGCTGGAGTAAATGAGGCATAAAATCCATGATTCATCAATACAAATACAACTAAAAGTATCCACATTCTACCTCCCACAGTTAGCATCTTTAACACCCCTAAAAATCAGATTCACCACAAAGAAGAATAGAGAAGAAAAAAGGGAAATTCCCACTTGCTGGATTGCTTGACATGAAACTTTCAAATTCAGCAATTACCCACCAATGGTAAGGTGCCCACAAGAGCAGAAAATATGGATGATTCTAATTCCTCGGATCATAGTTCCTAAGTGTGCTGCAAAAGTACCCAAACTAACCAAAATTCCCCACAAAATTTCAAAACTCAGCAAAACATGAGCTGAGCCACCAAATTGAGAGACAAACAATTATCTCAAACAGCCACAATATCCCAACTACCTCAAGCTCAATTCAGAAACCAATGCCAAGATCTATCCAGAAATTCCTTTTCCCCACAAATATCACTAATTACTAACTAAAGAAAGCTGCTTTAAACAAGAACATGTCAGAAAAATATGTTCCTGGTTCAGAAATGGACCATAGTCCAGCAGAATTACAAGTGTTTGGACAGGATATAGAAGAATGAAGTTGAAAACTCTTGTCACTAACCTGACCCAGCAAAGATGACCTCAATACCACCATTAAAATGCAATCCCAGAGGCTGGAGCCTTTTACAGCAAATTGCAACGGCTCTTTCCAGGCTGTCATTTTAAACAGAGGAAAGAGCAAAAGAATTGAACCCACAAGCAAAACCTCTGAACCTTATACCACACACGACACACTCAAAAAACAAGTTTTCTAGACATTTATCCTACACATTAACATGTCATTAACCAGCGGCCAGCCTGCTCACACAATAGTCATACATTCGGCAAATGAAAGAAAAAGGCTTTAAAATATAAACATACTCCACAATACATAATAAGTTACGTCTCATAAATTAACAAGGTCCAAATAATGAGCTAATCTAGATTTAGAAACATAAATCTTCAAAGCTTTGGCAAGTCGAATTGTTTGATTGTCTTGGCTTCCTACAAAAAGCATAGAGGTAAAAACACAAAAAAAGTTACATAACTTCCCAAAAGAATAAATTAACTTAAAACAGCAAAGTGTGGTCTAAGAAGGAGCAGAAAAAGAAAAAGAATTTTTACAAGCCTAATCAAATATAATTACCCAAAAAACTTAAACCATAATACTAAACCCAATAACATAAACAAATTAACAAAAAATATTAAGCCACAATTATGATCTAAAGTCAAGAATTAATTTATCCCAAAAAGTCATATAAAATAGGCAAACATAGGATTAAGCTCAAGAAAGGCAAAATGGATTTGATTTTTCCAAATTTTGAGGCTACGGTGAACAAGGGGGACTTGAGGGATTAAAATGCAACAAAGCAGGGACCTAATTAAGGGACTTATGATGGTGTTGGAGGCAAATATGAAGCTCAGGAAAAGACAGGACCAAATCACTAAACAAAAAGAAAACGGAGGGACTGAAATTGCAATTTTGGACAAGTGATCATCTTCTCCAACGAGCAAATATCAATTACCATTCAGCAAGACAGCAACCAGAAATCTGGCTTCAATTTCTAACCATTCCAACAAACAATGAGACTCACAACACTCCCTCTCATAACATCAATTCGAATTCACTCGACCGGAAGCATAAGGAGCAGAAAAATGTAAGACATCAACACACCAAAAATTCTTAGATGCGAGGAAGTGAACTGGCCGACTTGGCCAGTATTTTTCATGTGCAAAAATGCAGACCAATCACCCTTCAACTAAAACTTTCAATCAAGCATTTTGTCGAACAGTAAATGGGCATTAAAATTTTGCCGGATTCTCACTCAAATTAAAGCAATAACTAGCCCAAAAATGATCATAAACCAAGACATTCAGCTCAATCAACGTATGCGGCATGTATATTCAAAAGCATGAGGCCAATCTTTCTAACGGGTAAAAGGTGGAATTTTTCCCCAAGGCCTTAACTTTTAAAGGCTGCACAACTGGAGAGAGCTTCTTGTGTATAAAATACAAAGCTTATGTTATATCACACCTAATCTAAACTACTACAACAGTTAGAGTTTGCAATTGGAAGCTCAGATTTCGTCCCCTTATCAATTCAGGATAACAAGTTTCCTAGTCGATCTTGGCCCATTTTAATGCCAGAGACACAGAGCCAAAAACAGAGGAGCACTTACCTAAGTGAGCCAGAGATGAGCAGTGATGAACCAGCGATGAACTAGTGAGATCTTGGTGCTTTGTCTTCGACACTCGGCAGCGATGAACCAGCACGGCAGGACACAGCCGACAGGAGACGTACAGCGCGGCGGACTGGCGGAGGCCGGAGAGGCAGAGAGCAGCTTCGATTTGGGACTTGGGACTTGGGACTTGTTAAGGCGATGGCGATGGCGATGGCGATGGAGTCTCACAGATGCGGCGAGCAACGGCGTCGGCGACGAACGGAGTGAGGGTGTAGATTGGTAAAGTGAATTTTTTTGCTAGGCTTCGAACAGAGAAGAAAGTCGCACAGTCGGCACAGAGAACTGAGAGAAGGAAGAAAGTCTTTTCTTCCTTTTTTTTTAGACATTTTTTCTTTTTAGTGTTTTTTACAATTATGTTATTACTTTTTTGCCATTATAGGATTTTATTATAAAGAAGGTAATATTGTAAATTTCATATAACTTATACCCATAATAGTCATTTTATAATTATAATAAATATATATTATTTAAATTATAAATATTTTATTTAATTAACTCTGGCTCGTCGAGCTACTCGACGAGTCACGAGCTCGGAAAACGAGACTCGATACTCGACTCGATTTGAAGTCGAGTTACTCGAAACTCGATTCGAACTCGGTCAACCCGAGTTCGAGTCGAGTTGTTGACCGAGCTACTCGCGAGCTACTCGCGAGTAGCTCGGCTCACCAACAACCCTAATTGGAACCTAAAAAAAAATTTTTATACCTATTTTTTATCAAATATACCAATTCTACCCCTTAACCCTCAATTCTCTCTATTTAGAAAATAAAACAAATGATTTTTTTGAGCTGTCTTTTGCTTAATTATATCAGGGTATTTTGGTCATTTTGACCATTTCCGTTAAGTTTAACGGATTCCGTCACCTTTACAATTTAGTTCAAAGTATGAGGAGTCGTGTTGTATATTTTGAAACCACGGGAGGCTTTTCTGTGTATTAGGTTTACCACAGGGGGCTTTTTTATTTTTTACCCATTCCAAAATGATGTAACATCCAGCCCTTTTGACTCAAGTGCAAAAGCACAGAATACCTAGTCTAACCTATCACAATCAGTTAAGACTGAAAATGATCGATTTGGCTATGTCTGCAATGTGTTGATGATCATACATTTGAATCAAAGACCCTATGCTCTCTTGTTTTTCAAATATTATAAAAATTTTTAAAAAATACTCTAAAACGTACTCTAAAAAGTATTCTAAATTTTTTTTAATGTTTAAAAAATATTTCAAAATATTTCAAAATATATTTTAAAAACTCTACTACTCATAAATATTTCAAAATATTTTCTAAAAATATCCCAAAATATACTGTAAAAACTCTGCTACAATAAAATTTTTCAAAAACACCCCTAAAAACAGCTAATCCAAACGAAAATGATCGAGCATATTTTGCCTCGCTTAATTAGAGCACACGGAGTCGTTAATAATATTTAAGAGCAGGGCTAAGAATAAGATAAGTTCTTATTGTATACGTGTTTATCAAGCAATTGGCCAAAGGTAAACATCATGATGTGGTGTTTTGTTTTCAGATCATTGAAAATTCTTAGATCGAGCATCAAATGTGAACCATTTAGGAGTAGCGAAAGCTAGCCGTCCAAATCCTTATTCGTCTAATTATTTCTACATTGGACGGAAAGTTTTTGATGAGATGAGAGATGCATGGCAGGCCTCAAGGACCACTCACATTATCCTTCCTTTATCTTCTTTGTTTGTATTCTTATGCAGTATTGCCAATTCATTACTCAAGTCAATAGCTAATATTAGCATCTAATCAATTTGGGTTTTAAGTACTAAGCGCTCAGTTGGGTAAAATTCATATGTGATGATATCTTTTGGAGGAGAGATCCTTCAGATTTTGTTGTGCCATTTCTAATGGCGGATTTATTAGAAGGTTAACGAAATTGCAACATCAATACTCAGAGGTAGAAAATGCAAAATCAAGTAGTATATTCATCCAAGAAAGAAATAGAACTACAACCACAAAACGTTAATCTGAATTCAAGAGTTGAAAAATTTTCTGTGTTTTCACATCGGTCCAAAATCATCATATATATATATCCTTACTACTATAAAGACGAGACGTGAATGAGTGGAATTGGATTGCTGAATTATACAAAATTGATTGGATGTTATCCGGCAACTGATTGGTCCAATTTTTCAATGGCAATTGCTATAATTTTGAGCAATATTAGTTATCAATTTTCATAGCATCAATGGTGGAGATTGCTGTAATTTTGAGCGACTTTCGCGGCAATTCCATAACTTAAACATACGACTCTATCGTTTTCTCCATCCAGAATTTCTAAAATTCTAGAATTCTCTGCCGGTTTCCCTGCATTCTTAAGTTCGTCCAACGATTCCTCACCTTAACCACAACTTTAAATTTGGCAAAAGGACAAATTACATTTTACCCCTCTATGTTTAGTGTTTTTGTACATAAAACCCTATAGTTTCAAAACTTATGCATAACTCCCTCATGATTTGGATTAAAGTATCCAAACAATAGAAATGATCATTCGTAATAGAACCTTTGAAAATGTCGAAATTAGTCTTGTTTAAAAATTAAAATGGTTGAAATGATCAAAATATATAAACATAATATACATAATACACTAACCCCGTAGGGTTTTATATTTTACCATATAACCCCCTTATGGTTTTCAAAATATACACATAACTCCCCTATTTTTAACAAATAATTTTCAACTTTACATAGGGGTATTTTTGACATTTTAGATGACTTCGTTATGGATTGCAAATTCTATCACTTTGACACTTTAATCAAAACTATGAGGGAGTTATGTATAGCTTTTGAAATCATAGAGGAGTTATGTACAAAAACTCTAAACCACATGGGGGTAAAGTATAATTTGTCCAAAAGAAAAATAAAAGAAAACCACCGTTCTAATTGTCTCCTTGCAGGGATGATTTCTGGCCCTTTTTCATCCTTGAAGTGGTTATATTTCAGCATTTTTTGGATCATTTAATTTGTCCCCAATTTTCTAATTCGGTCAAGTGAGGGTGTTCATTCAATTTGTCCCTATTTTCCTAATTTAGTCAAGTGAGGGTGTTCATCAGAGTTATTCACAAGTTGGGATTTATAATCTGTTCGATTTTCTACCCCCTCCCTATTTACTATATTTTCCCAAAATTTCTGCAATTCCAGGGGAATTCTCCATTCAGCGTACGTTTTTGGTACACCCCTCCATGAAGCTCCAATATGACGAATAGTGTCAATGATATGCTGTACAATAGCCACCGGATATAAACTACCATTCCGAAATAGCACCAAGTTTCTGGTTCTCCACAAGTAGTACACTGTAATAGCCAGGGCTAGTCTATGAAATCTGCACATAAATGAAGATTCCTTTCAATGTTCACTTAACCGGAGTACTTTATCAGACTCTTATAGCACCATATAATATAAGGATTAAACTTTGTTACATTGACTAATGATTTTAGATGATGACACATTCGAATAAATGATTTTGATTTTTAAATTTTGCACATATCTGATATACCTTTAGACTCATTAGTGCATAAAACTTCTAATAGTAATTTTTTTCCCATTAGGTTATGTAGAACAACAAATTTACATGGCTTGTGAGGGATTTATTTTTTTATTTTTTTAAAAAAAGGACTTTGAGGGATTTTTAAAAATACGCAGGGGGACCAATTTATGACTTCCATATACTGGTGTTATGATGAGCATAGTCTAAGATAAAATTTCCTATTTTCTATCTTCAATCCTTTAATCTTTGCTTGGTGAAATGTGCATCTCAGTTCCAAAATTGAAAGACAAGATAATTATAAGTTTATTATTTTACTTCTCGCTTTAGGACATTGTCGCTGGTGGAACGGAAACTACCTATACCGTGCTAGAATGGGCAATGACAGAGCTTTTAAGGCACCCAAAAGCGATGAGGATCTACAGACGGAGGTGAGAGGAATTGCTGGTGGCAGACCAGAGATCACTGATGAGGATTTGGAAAAAGATGAAGTATTTGAAATCAGTGCTTAAAGAAACACTACGTTTATATCCTCCGATACCCTCACTGGTCCCGCGCCAGGCAATCGACGACGCTAAAGTAATGGACTTTGACATTTCAGCTGGAACTATGATCATTACCAATGCTTTTGCCATTGGAAGACACCCTTCATTCTGGGATGAACCAGATGAGTTTAGGCCTGAGAGATCCTTGAATTCTGGCATTGATTTCAGAGGTCATGACTTTCAATCGATTCCATTTGGAGCTGGAAGAAGGGGTTGTCCTGGAATCTCTTTCGCGATGGCTACAGATGAACATGTTTTAGCAAATCTTATGCTTAAGTTTGACTGGGATTTGCCTGATGGAGCTAAGGGAACAGATTTGGACATGACTGAATGTACTGGTTTAATAATTCACAAAAAAGTTCCTCTTCTTGCTGTTCCAACTCCAGTTTGGTGACATAATAAATTAGCTTACCTTAAATAATAATAATAATTCAGCTTAAATAGAATTTTCCATCTTCAGAGTTGTGGTGTTGCTAACATCATGATTTAATACATCAAGAGATGTTCAATTTCTTATCTTTCTTCATGCAATAGATGTTACATTTACACCCCTTTCATTTGATTTTTTTTTTTTTGGCAAATGATGCAAATTGTCTTCCAACTTTTTTACTGAACCACTTTTGTTCTTCTACTTTAATTTAGGCTAATGTTGTCCCTTAATTTTGCGATTGAACTAATTTGGCACCTCTGCTTGGAACAATGCCCCATTTTTATTATTGGACCAATTTTGTCCTTTGACTTTTTACTCACTAGCTTATGGAGGGGCAAAGTTTACATGGACCGAATAAGAAAAAATCTAAATGCTCACGTTCAATTTGTTACTTTTGTTCATGCTATAGATATATAATTCCACTCCCTTCATTTTATTTTTTCTTTTGGGTCCCTTTTCTTCCCATTTTACCTTCAACCTAAAGGGTTGTTAATGACTTTATTTACTCCATCTCAACATTAGTTTCAAGTGTTAGGATTCAAGTGCGGAATAAACAACTATTGATATATCAAGTGCACAACAATTTAATAAGAAACAAGCTACAAACATAAAAGATAGACGACACACAATATTTAACGTGGTTCGACTTCACCATTGAGTCTACGTCCACGGAGAGAAACCCGTTCTTTGTTATGAAAGGAAAACCCTATACAAGAATACAATTTGAACCCAAACCCAACCCTTGTATATCATCTCTCATCTCCCAAAAACCCTCCCTCACACCCCATGTATAAGACTAAATGATGCCCTTGTGTATCTCGTGTGTCTCTTGTGTGTCCCTTTGTAGTATGTCAACCCACCTATTTATAGATAACATTATTTGGCCAAAAATACCAAATAACAATAGGAAACCAATTCTAATTCCTAAACTTGTATAGACTAGGAAATAACTTTTAATCCTAAACTAAATAGAATATTCTTTGGTTACTATTTTATGTAACTAAAATCAATTAGAAAACTAGTTACTTCCACACAAAACAAGAATTCTACCTAAAAGAAATTAAGCCAATTTCTTAACATCAAGGAACTTGGTTGACTTATTGTGCACCAAGTATTCCGTCGGCCTTTCATTCTCAAGTTTATCGCGTAATTTGCTTTGGAGTTCATGATATGTAGAAAAATAACATGGCGGCATTAGGACAAATTTCCGAACCAAAAACAATTTTACTGGAAAATAATTGACTTATATTTCAGTTATTAAGAAAAACTCCATAGTTTGATAAATAAATGATAAATCACCTGCTGTTTTGCGATAATAAGTTAATACAGAACATGTTCTTTACATATTATCTAGGTGCATGACATCTGAATGGCATCAATTTTCAACTAAATCTTCTGCATTATAGTTGTTGACTACTCTCAGTTTTAACTCTGCAAGTTCCAAGTAAGGTTTGGTCCATCGAGTTTTACACCTTACAAGTTTAATCCCACAAATAATATTCCCAATAAAAACTTGTGCAAAATATTAATGCAATCCAAAAAGGATTCTAATATTTTTCTAGTCATAAGTTGACTTGGGCTGCAAGGAGATGAAAGTAATCAGTGGAAATTTACTGCATGAGAGTGCTGCAAGCGACATCCAAAATTAACATTGACTCGTCATAGCCTAATCATCAATAGTAGAGGTAAGTAGATATGGATAGCTGCAAGGACATTGATCACGATCTAACAGGGGAAGAAATGTTGTAGCCGCCAGTATAATTATCAATAGCAATGGATTTAGACTGCTACAAGGACTTTTGTTCATCTGGATTTAACTGGGAAGATTTTAATAGCCTGGCTTATCTTAAACCGTGTAATGACCTTGATTTTAATACGGTTTTGGAATTTTCGGTACCCGACATCAATACTCATTGATAATGTAGGACGGATGCTATGAATAACTTTTCCCGATGGGCACAGCAAAGAGGAGCTAGCATATACTGTGTCTATGGGATTGCTATTAATTTTAACCCTAAGTGGATGGAAAAATTATTGCTCGTAGTAGCTTGGGTGTTCGTGGATCGAGCAGCCAATCTATCTGCCACTTCGCTGGCCCTAACCAATAAATTGCATAATTCAAAATCACCCAATCCTACAATTCTAAGATTTCACCATGCTAAATCCATAATTGAAGCATTACATAATCAAGACACATTACTTAATTAAAATACTGAATACTTCGAACATTTGTTTTTATCTTCTTCACTTCTTAAAATACTATAAACTCGTATTTCAGTGATGCGAACAGGTTCCTCCACAGCCAAATATAAAAGCTTTAAAATTTGGAAATGCAAACTTTATGAGCAAAGAAAAGAAAATTTGGAGTTTGATAAGTGACTAATTTACGTAATAATTGTATGATATTTTATATTATTTTTAGTCACTTTAGTTATATTATTGGTAGAATATGAATCATTTTGGCTATAATTGGTGAAAAATACTTTTAAGTAATTAAATGAGGTTTTTATCATTTTTTACTTGGATTTTGTGTATTTTGACAGTTTTGACACATTTTCGTATTTCGGCTATAACTTGAGTTACAAAGATCGGATTAAGATGATTCTTGAACCAATTTGAAGATAAGAGATAGATCTACAACTTTGGTGAAGACATCTAAATCCAGTTTGAAGGTTTTCCAGGTCAAAATGCCGAATTACAATAGCAAATTTCTACTGGTCGAAACTGGAACAGGGCAATGAGCAGGTAAGGGTATTTCGGTCATGTCTCAGCCTACACAGATCCAAATGAGATGATTCTTGATGCATTGGAAAGCTAACTCAAAGGGATACAAGTTTTATGTTTTGGTCAAGAGCTAAATCAGCTTTTATCATCAAGAAAACTTCAGTGGAATTTGATGCAAAATCGGAGCAGAGCTGGAAATTGAACCAGAAGTGACCAAATGGTCACTGTAGCAATCCGGCCGGAATGTGGCCGGATTTGTGGCCGGATTCCTGGCCGGATTGTGGTCAGAAAAGGCTGCTCTGTATGCATAAAACTCAATTTCACCTCCACCAACTCACATTGGATGCTAGACATGTGAGAAACATTCCCAGCTGTAAAAGGGAGATGTAATCCTCATTTCTTGACCACCTTTCATCATAAAAGAGCCAAATTCATTGCAAGAAGGGGAGATTGGAGTCCATAGCAGAAAAATAGAAGAGAGCTACGGGAGAAAGCTTTGAAGCTGCAGAATGTATGCTCTTCTAATTTCCCTAGTTGTAGTTTTAGCTTAGTATAGAGTAGTTGTAGCTTTTCCATCTTTGTTTATTATCTAGATTAGGAGAAATGGAGGATGAGAGCAATGGAATGAAAGCTCATTGTGACAAGGGTTGTATTCTTCCAAACTCTTTATCTTCTTCGCTATTTTGATTCCAGTTTAGTTAATATACAAGTTCTGGATTTTGTGTTCATTTATGCTGTGTTTTCTTAAAGTTTTAAGCCTTTGGCTTTTTGGTTGAACTTTTATAATTGTTAGTTGTTTATTTATTTTGGTTATTTGACTGCTATGAATTTTGAAGCAAGTTTTTAGCCAATTTGGCCTCTTTAAATCCTGATTAATCTGCGCTACCAATTGATTGGTGCATTAATTTTTAGGTGTTTCGTTTCTTGCATGAAAATTGAGATGTTTAACCACTAGTTCAAGAAGGTGCTAAAATAGGGAGTACAACTCACGAAAGTAGGAGGTGCCTTATGTCGTTTTTTAGTGGATTCATTTCTGTTAATTTCACTGAAGAATGACTTGTAAGCTAATTTATACATGAGAATAAGGTGATGGATTGTTATAAGTACTAATTTGATTCACTACGAAGTTTAAGGATTCAAATTGCATAAGGAAATTACACCATACTAGCCTAGATGTAGTAATTAATGATCCAAATATAGCACTTGCATGAAGTTATGTTAGGGATACAACAAACCTTAAGGAGCTATTCATTTTGTTATTTTGGTATAATTTTCAGTTAGAGTTAAATTTGTGTATAATTCTATTGATAGTCTAAATAAATTAGAGTAAGCTTTAGTATATACCGGTAATTGTTCACTCTTTTCCTTGTGGGATCGACCCGATATATACCCTAAACTACTAGTTGATCTGTATACTTGCAGTGAACGGGTGTAATTCGGTATTTTTTAGCTTGCACGTATGTAAAATACCCGTCAAGTTTTTGGCGCCGTTGCCGGGGAAGATTTGGCAATATCGGTGTGAAGAGCAACTTTATTAGTTTAGACATAATATTAGTTATATTGTGAATGTTATTTTCTGTTATTTTAGTATTTTATATGTGTATGTGTTTTATCACCTAGTCTTCTTACTAATTTTGCTCTTAAGTTGTTTAAAAGCAATTTTAGGTAATGAGGAGGGTAGGTCAATTTGGAGGACAATGCTTGAGAAGTGGAAGATTGGCAATGGATGGTTATGAAGTGCAAAGCTCCTTCAACAGAGGTAACCAAGAATTTACTGAATGTATGTCTTTTGAAGATGGTTTAAGGTGCTTAAAGGCAAAATTTGATGTAATTAAGTTACAAGTTCAAATGGACACCATGATGCATGAAATTGAGCAGAGAAGGAATGTTAATGCTTTTAATTCTTATCATGTGATTTGTGACTTGTGTGGAGGTTATCATGCTACTAATACATGTATGCAAGCACAAAATGTGGATTATTATGATGAATTAGAGCATTACAATCCTTGTTTTGATCAATATAGTGCTAATTGGAGTAATTCTCCTGCTTATGGTTGGAATAATCAATGTACTTATAGTGATAATTCATATTTTTATGATCACCAACCTGAAAGTGTCCAATATGAATCAAAACCATCTTGGGAGTTGGCAATAGAGAAGTTAGCTAATACACATCTACCTTGGGAGTTAGAAAGTGAACCATTAGCTAATGATTCTAATGCATCTTGGGAGCTAGCTGT